ACTCCAGCACCCCCAGAACCAGCACCTCCAGTGCCGGCACCTCCTGCTCCAGCACCCCCAGAGCTAGCGCCACCTGCGCCAGCACCTCCAGCTCCAGCACCCCCAGAGCTAGCGTCACGTGCGCCAGCACCTCCAGCTCCAGTACCCCGCGACCGAGCACCCCCAGACCGAGCACCGCCAGCGGCTGCCCCTCCAGCTCCAACACCAACCGAGTCCAAAGTAACATGTCGCGGAAGTGCCGAAGGCTGCTGAGGGGACTGTGAGGAGGACTGCGGGGAGGGAGACGCAACCTGACGCGCGACCGAGGGTAGAGGGGTAGCGTGGGACACACCAGACGGGGCAGGACCAGGGGGGGGCGGGGGTACCGGAGGAGCGGGAGCAGGAGGAGGAGAGGGTGCGAGGAAGAGAGGGGGAGGGGGTACCGGGAGACCTCGACAGGGATACCGGGTGTAGTAGGACACGGACTCGTCAAACCGGACGTCACGGGAGTCTAGGAACTGGTGGAGGGGAGGGTGGTAAAAGGACCAGTCGGCAGAGTCCACTGGGAAACCAAGGAAGACACATGGGACGGCGCGTGCCGAGAGCTTGTCCGCGGAGGTGTCGCGAACAAGCGCAAGGCAGCCCCAGACTCGAAAGGCCGACCCGACACCAGGGGAACCAGTCCAAAGACTGGTCGGTGAAGCCTCGGGCCGCAAGACACGCGGCTGGAGGTTCAGCTGGTGTGCGGCGTAGCGAACCGCGTGGGGCCACAGAAAATGGGGCGCACGGGCATGAATCATGGACGTGCGGGCGATGTCCATGACCAAGCCTATGCGGCGCTCAGCAACCCCATTCTGCTGTGGGGACTCTGGCAGCGTCCAGGACCGGGTGATGCCCTATTCGCCGCAGAATCCGCCGAGAATGCCGGAGCGAAACTCGCCCCCACGGTCGGAGTGGAGACAACTGACTCGACGACCACGAGTGCCCTCAGTGGCTAGAAGCCACCTGATCAGCGTAGCTGTCACCTCGGACTTCTTTGCAAGAGGGAACACTGTGGTGTACCTGGAGAAGTCGTCGACAACCACGAGAAAGTAACGCTCCCTCCCAGACCCCTGCGTCGGGGCAGGGCCCCAGACGTCCAAGTGGAGAGTCTCGAAGGGAGCGGTGGCCGGACGAAGGGAGGAGGAGTGGGGAGTGGCGCGTAAGCGACCGGCGACGCACGGAGAGCAAGGAGGGGCAAGCGAGAGAGGGAGCGACGGGAAGGTGCGTGGGAGACCTGTGACTAGTCCCTGACTGAGCATGCCACAAAGGCGAGGGATCGACGGGTGGCCAAGACGGTGGTGCCACAGGACGGTGCGGTGGGCGAGAGAGCGACAGGAGCAAGACGCAGCGACTGGACTGGACACAGCGACCGGACTGGACACGACTACCTGGCTAGACACAGCAACTGGACTGGGGACCTGGGCCGGAGGGGACGCAACGACCTGAGGGGAGGACGCGACCGGGGAGCGCTCGGTGTGGAGAACGTAGAGACCGGAGCGGGGCTCCCTGGTGAACGTAGCCAGAACAGCACCTGTGGTAGCGTCAGTACAGACTGCAGTCCGCCCACCCCCCACGAAGGTAACCGTGATCCCCCTGTCCTGGAGGTATCCAACACCCACCAAGTTCCGAGTGAACGAGGGGATGTGGAGGCCGCGCAGGACACCAGAGGGGACCACAGGGCACGGGAGGGTGGTGGAGCTACGCGCAACGGCTGGTCCAGAGGTAGGATCAGCCAGAGCCACCGACACAGGTGTGTAAGGGTCGTGTGGTCGCGGAAGAAGCACTGAGACGCGCCCGAGTCCAGCGTGAATGACAGAGAGGCCTCAGCCGGAGGCGTGTCAGGTCCGGAGGCTACACAAGCACCTAGAGCAGAAACACAAGCACCTAGACTAGAGAGGCACAGGTCTACACTAACAGGAGGCAAGCATCCTAGACTACGAACACGCGAGCACACAAATCCATCAGCACTATAGTCAACATCAGCATACAAAGCATACTGACGAGCATCGTCCATAGACAATTCAAATACAGGAATCTTACGGGCTAGCAGGCGAGCCCAGCGCGGGGTGGTCGCCTCAGGACCCCAGCGTGCACGGTAGAGGTCGTCGAGGCGGCGGAAGCACCGCGCTGCAGAGTGGTCGTCGCGGCCGCAGACACAGGGACTGCCAGGTCCGGTGACGCACCAGTGGTCGCAGGGGCCGGTGTCGCGCCGCGGGGGGCGAGGGGCCCAACTGGTAGTGCTGCTGCTGCGGCCAGTGCTCCCGGATCCTCCAGGTCCCCACTGTGGCGGAGGGCCCCAGTGCTGCTGCGGACCCCACTGCAGTGGGGGTCCCCACGTATGAAACTGCTGTGGTGCCTGCCACTGCTGCTGTCCCTGGTGCAGCTGCTGTCTCTGCTGTGGCTGCTGCTGCTGTGGCTGCTGCTGCTGGGGCCCCGCACCACCGCTGGTCGAACCTCCTCCAGCAGGTGGGTCAGCACCTCCTCCAGAGCTCCCTCCGCCTGGGGCAACACCGCCACTACTGCCGCCCCCAGGGCCGCCTCCACCACCGCCACCTCCTCCACCGCCGCCACCCCCCTTCCCCCCTTTCTTGCCCCCCTTGCCCCGTTTCTGCCTGTCAGCGGCAGAAACAGCTGCAGTGTCCTCAGAAACCGACACAGCAGCAGAGGCACGTGTAGTGAAGGTAGGAAGCTGGGGGACAGCACACCCCTCAAACAAACGAGGGGCAACTGCGTCAGTGGCTGAGGCAACAGAGAGGAGGTTACTCTCGATCTTCCCGAGAGTGGTCTCGAGAAGATCAATCGTAAGCTCACTGGGGAGATGCTGGAGAAGTGCGTCACGGGCAGTGGAGAGGCGGTCAGGGAGACGAGTGACTACCCAGTGGACTGTGAGCCAAATAGGAGGAGGAGCAACAAGAAGCTGAGCCTCAGTGCAAGCTGCTCGGTAGCTAGCGACAAGGGAGCGCAAGTGTGTGGCTAGGTCAGAGACAGTCGCAAAAGAGCCGAGGTCGGGAAACACGAACGGCATGAGGATGCGGCTGAGGGAGGCAGAGGAAGGGGTGGAATAGCATGCAGAAATAGCATCATACACCTCCTTCGCAGTCTCTACCAGGTCGAAGTGAGCGGCCTCAGTCGGTGGAAGGAGCTCGGTCAGCGCGAGTGCAGCCGCAGCGTCACGGGAGTCCCAAACGTCCCGCGCCAAGACGAGACGAGCGTAGTCCGCCTGTGCCTCCGGAGTCGGGGGGGGCACGGCAGGGAGGGGCTCGGGACGCGGTGGTGCCTGGAGGGCGCCGGACGCGTGGGCGTACAGGGTGGCGCCGTCCTGGCGCTGACTGGTGAGATAGCGCTGAGTCTGGCGGAGCCAGGTGCCGAACTCTATCGGGCGCCCCTCTGCATCGAAACGAAGGCGGCGGGAGGAGTCCATATTGGACGCAGCAAACGGAGCTAGGAGCGAGGAGCGCCAGGTGGGACTAGGCGAGGTACTGCTGGAGCACGGAGGAAAACTGAGCTAGGAACGCCAGTCTAGTAACGAACGGAGCTGGGAGTTAGCTGAGCTAGGAGCACACGGCTGGAGGAGGCAGGGCTGACGAGCCGATCGAGGAGCCAGAGGGTCGTTCGAGGGGCTGGCGGAGCGAGGAGAGACCTAGCTAACAACGAACGTCAGGACTAGCCTAAACAGCTAAGCGGAGCGGCCTCCAGCCGCGACGGTGCGAAACACTGTGAGTATGAGTGACGCGAGTGTCGAACCAACGGAGGTCGGGTGGTCCTGGGTGGTGTGCGCGCGTGATAAGGGGATGTGAGCGTTTGGAAGGGGCTCTGAGCGGTTGGAAGGGGCTGTGAGCGGTTGGAACGGGCTGTGAGCGGTTGGAACGGGCTGTGAGCGGTTGGAAGGGGCTGTGAGCGGTTGGAAGGGGCTGTGAGCGGTTGAAAGGGGCTGTGGGCGGGTGGGAGGGGCTAGCTGGCGCCAGCTGCTGGCGGCTAGGTTCCGGTGGCTAGCTGCTGCTGGCGGCTAGCTTCTGCCTAGCCGTGCTGCTGCTGCAGGAGCACGCGCTGCTGCCTAGCCGTGCTGCTGCTGCAATGCACACGCTGCTGCCTAGCCGTGCTGCTGCTGCAGTGCACGCGCTGCTGCCTAGCCGTGCTGCTGCTGCAATGCACGCGCTGCTGCCTAGCCGTGCTGCTGCAGCAAAGCACGCGCTGCTGCTGCAATGCGCGTGCTGCAGTGGCGTGCGCGGCTGCCGCTGGCTAACGCGCGCGCTGCTGCGGGCTAAGAACGACTACGCGGGCCCGCGGGGGGGGGGGGGGGGGGGGGGGGGAGAGTCCCTTCTGGAGCGCGACGAAACGAGGGGCCAGCGGGGCCCTGTAAACGCGACGAAAAACGAGGCCCGCGGGGGCCCTTTAACGCGACGAAAACGAGGCCCGCGGGGGCCCTTAAACGCGACGAAAACGAGGCCCGCGGGGGCCGTCCTACCCGCGACGAAACGGGGCCTAAGGGACGGGCGCCTCGGGACCGGCTAAGGGAGGGAGCGGAAGCGTGGGAGGGAGTAAAAAACCTACTCTAATACCATCTTAAGATAGGCTAGGAGACAAGTGTCGAGAGTAATGTTTGAGTAAGGAGAGACAAGGAGATACAAATGTCGACCTAAAGTGTTGTACCCTTTAGAGGGCAACTCACTGTAGCCTATCTAACAATATATAGAATATATTGACACAATGGACTTGCCAACATAAATTGTTCACCAGGAGAACATCACCTGCCAGCTATGCTATGATACCTTACCTGCCACATGCCACCTTACCTGCCACGTGCCATCTTACCTGCCACATGGCACCTTACCAGCCACATGCCCCCTTACCTACCACATGCCACCTTACCTGCCACATGCCACCTTACCTGCCACATGCCCCCTTACCTGCCACATGTCACCTTACCTGCCACATGTCAACTTACCTGCTACTTGCCAACTTACCTGCCACATGTCACCTTACCTGCCACTTGCCACCTTACCTGCCACTTGCCATCTTACCTGCCACATTGCAGCACCCTGCTTCTCCTCCTCTGGAACTGCAAACCCAACCGACAAGCTCTCTGGTTTCCGCACAGGCATGTGCACTATAGGAGGTCCATTGACTATCTCGGCTTCTGGTAGGGATGCCGACACTGTGAAAGGCTCAGGCTGCATGGAGGAAAGGGGCCATGGGAAAGAAGAACAGATCTATTGATTGTCATTGTGAAGCTCTGTGGATAGTGAGAACAGGGCGCGAGGAATAGAAAATGAATAAGACTTGTGGTGCTAAGCCCCACAGTATGACAACGAGAGTGTTGGGAAAAAGAACGGTGCAAACCCACCTGTTACTTGCCACACGTATGAGATGCTGCTGCATGCCAGAGCACAACGCACAGACCTGAACGTGAAGAACTGACTCATGCACCCACCCACTGCTGACACCTCCAAACGGCCATTTTAATGTCCATGCACACCCTGTGCCATGCGCTTGATTTATCCTAGAAATTTAATGCCAAGGAAAGAAAAGCTGTACCTCAGTGTTCCCCTGGCGAGGCAACGATTCCTTGCTCCCTCCATTATCTGCAGCAGCCATCGTGGAAGCTTCCCGCCCTCACAAGCCCAAGCCTGACTGCACGAGAATTGGACAAAACAGGGGGTAGGAGAGCGGGCCTCGCTGTAGACCTGCGTGTGAGCGATTATGGAGGCAGTGTTAGGTGGGAGGACGGGTGGGTGGGTGTTGAGTGTGGTTACGAAGGGCGCGGCTGTGTTAAGGAGAGGCGTGGGTGTGCGTACCTGTATGCACGTTTGTGTTGTGTGCACCGGCAATGAAAAAAAATGAAGAGTGTTCATCCTATGAAACAGTGTGAGAAGAATCTAAGAGAAGGGCGTGCATATATGAGAGTCTCTTTGAGAATTCCAAAAATGTGTCCATGCAGTAAATCACACCTGAGAATACGTTCACTCAGGACGATCCAGTTTCAGGGTACGGTCACCATCAACTGTCTAACCCATCGGCACACTGGCTTGAAAAGGAAAAGGGAGGAAGGGAGGGGTTGAGAGGAGAGGAAATAAAGAGGGATAATGAGAGGGCTACGTGGTGAAACACTGGGACAAGTAACTACACAGCAGGCTCATCCGAGGAAAGAGGAAGGCGACGAGACAGAGGAAGGAGAAAAGCGGCGATCGATGAAAAGAGGGAACCAGCGATCAGAGGAAAGAGGGACGAAACGTTCACGAGGCGCATGCGACTCGGAAACCTGGTCTATCAAACGCGACGCTAGAAGACAGCGATGATGTCGCGTGAACATCATGGCTGACGCGGCAACGTCTGCGAGGGCTGCGGTACAAGGCACCTAAAAGAAACACAGCACAGAGCGGATTTATTACTAACCTGGCTAATACGAAACAGGGCTGTGCGACTGTGAAAACAGGCAGAACTTATCAGTTGCTTGAGCTACGAGAGGGTACAAGAGGATACCGTACTCCATAATATTCACTCTGGTAAAAGAACTTATACACAGCAGCTTTCATTACGAGAAAGGATTGCTAACACGCAAAAAAGAAAAGGCAACAAAAGCGTCAAATTATTTCCACCAATTCCCTTTCTCTCAAAGGTTGTGCCCACAACGTCACTCGTGTACAGCTCAGGGAATGTGCGAAAATGGTCCACGTGCGGCGAACACTCGAATCGCATCGACATCACCCGGTGGCCCTGGGCCCGCTGCCCGAGGATGATTTTTTCAACAGCAGGCAGCGGAATGACTATGTCTGCTTCACTGTATAAGTACAGCTGCGGGCAGTTGGGCTGGTGGTGATGCAGAGTATTAGTCACCTCACCAAGCTTCCTGGAAGATTCATTTCAGAAGCGGGCAGGGAGGGGTGAAGGGTTGACAGGAAAAATATTTACGTCGGAATATGACAAGACTGGAAGCGAGAAAAGAGAGGGAGATAGAAGAAATGGGTCAATAATCAGAGACATCAGGAGTTGATTAGGTCAGTGTGCCATGACTAATATTCAACCATTCATGAGCTGGCTGGCAGTGGCAAGCAACTGACTGACTGACTGACTGACTGAATGACTGACTGACTGACTGGCTGACTGAGTGAACCTACCCTTTGACGTAGGGGATGCGCAGAGCCACTTGGAAGATGAGCCACAGTGCCGTCACCAGCATGCTCTCTAGAGCATCCAGCCGCACCTTCACCACCCTCACCACCGCCACTGCCTGCCTGACTGCCTGACTGACTGACTGACTGACTGACTGACTGACGGACTTGACTGACTGACTGGCTGACTGAGTGAACCCACCCTTTGACGTAGGGGATGCGCAGAGCCACTTGGAAGATGAGCCAGAGCACCGTCACCAGCATGCTCTCTAGCGCATCCAGGCGCACCTTCACCACCCTCACCACCGCCACTGCCACCCGCCCACACGCCCCCACCATCCGCCCACACGCCTGCACTATGCTGCTCGCTGCCCCGCTCGCCCTGCCTCTCCCCCCTCGCTGCCACCACCGCTGCTGCCGTGGCTGCTGCTGTTGCAAGTGAAGGCCACTCCCTTGCTCCTGCTCTCTCCTCAGTTCTTTTCCCAGCACTAGCTTATTCTCCTGCTTCTCTGCCTGCATCCTGTACACAGCTATCAGCTGCTGCTGCAGCAGCCACTGCTGGTGGTCCTGCTGAGACACCCCTCTTAAAGCACACCCGTTACTACAACCATTACCAGTACCAGCGCCAGAACCACTCCCTTCTCGCATGCCTCTATCCCCCCCACCACCTGCCGCTGCCACCACAGCAGCAGCAGCACCCCCCCTTGCCTTACTCCCACATGCCTTCAATCTCTCAGCCTCATCAGCCCGCCACAACACCAGCTTACACCCACAGGGAGCAGGTGAGGAAAACGCCCCCTCCTCACCACCCAAGCCCCCTTGCCCTTGCCCTTCCCCTTCCCCTTGCCATGACCCCAACGCCTCCGTTCCTCCCTGCTCCCGCCCCTGATCCGGGTACAGGCTCTCACAGCTGCTGCTGCAGTCACTCCGGGATACAGTCACACTGGTGAACACTGGAGCAGAGACAGCACCTGCAGCAGAGGCCACAGAGGCAGTACCCGCAGCAGCAACACCAGCAGCAGCAGCAGGAATATCACCACCACTACCGCCACCAGCAGAAGAGGAAGCAGCGGGGAGGGTGCTGGCTTGCAGCAGGGCGGATTTGAGCTGTGAGCAACCGACCACCGAGTCAATGACAAGGGAGCCCATGCGCGTTGCCGCACTGCGCTTCTGCAGAATGGAGAGCCCCCATGCGCGTTGCCTCACTGCGCTTCTGCAGAATGGCTGCTGAGAAACCACTCGCACACACCTTGGAGTTGGGGGCACAGGTGGTGGGGAAAAGGGGGAAGGTGTGGGGAAGATGGGAGGGGGGCAGGGAAATGGGAGAAGGGAAATAGAGGGCAAGGGGAAGTAAGGGGGGGGGTGAGAAGGGGAGGGGAGGAGGAGGGGGAGGTGGGGTGGGTGGGAGGGAAACGAGAGGGGGGGAGAGGGAAAGAGAATGGATCTGGAGGATTAAGAGGAAGTGTACGTTACACGGATTATGGGCCCGAAAAGGGTACAACTAATCTGCTACGAGTCGTTGGTGTGAGATCTGAATCATTACACGCTAAACTCAACCTTCGCTCCTATTGTTCTGCTGGGGTGGGCGGGCCGGGCGTGAGGCAGCGGGAGGGCGGGGGAAGGGGTGAAACGGGGGCGGGGGAAGGGGTGAAACGGGGGCGGGGGAAGGGGTGAAACGGGGGCGGGGGAAGGGGTGAAACGGGGGCGGGGGAAGGGGTGAAACGGGGGCGGGGGAAGGGGTGAAACGGGGGCGGGGGAAGGGGTGAAACGGGGGCGGGGGAAAGAAGTGGAAAGATGGGCCGGAGTGAGGAGGATCGTTAAGAATATATCCGTTTTCTCAACTTGGGATCTTCTTCCAGTGTGGGCGCGGAGTCAACGACTGACCTTAACTTCACCATGAATCTTCATCCTCGTTATGGGGCCTTCCAATTTCTGGTAAGAGTTTCCCCGGATCTCACCTTGGGATCTTCTTCCAGTGTAGGCGCGGAGTCGACAACGCACCCCTTTATAATCCCATCCACCGCCGCTTTCCCGTACTTGCGCTGCAGTCGCAGCAGCGCGGCGCCGTACGCGATCCATCCCGTGTTGCTGAACGTGTGGAACAGCAGCGTGCGACACCCGCCGCCGCCCAGCCCGCCGTGAATCGCGCCGTGCGTCGCGCCGCGATTCGCGCCCTCGAGGAGCCATCTCTCAAGCTCCGTGACCAGATCGTCGACATGCAGCTCCGCCTTTTCGCCGAGCTGCGAAAGGGTAACACGCGAAAGAAGTATTAGCGAAAGCAAAACAGAAAGAACAATTATACTCTTGTTCACCCTACTGCCACACTCGCAGGAATCACTCTTGATATGATACAACCACTCTCACAACAGTCACTCACCCTGACGCTGAATATGTCGGTGAAAGGGATGACGAACCCGATCGCATCGATACCCCTCGCGTTGTACCACGTGGCATACTGCCGTATGTGCCGCTGCTGCGCGCCGAGCCACCCCAGCAGCACCACCGCCGTCCGCCCGTCCCCTTCCGTCCCCGCGCAAGCACCCGTTTCCCCCCAATTCCCCATAGATCGTGCTCGCATTATCGTCCTATTCCCCCCGGGCCACGATGCGGAGGCGTCCCCGCTGAGGGAAAACGGCGTCACTGACGGAACTGACGGAAAAGTATCGATCTTGACGAAATCAGTCCGATCACCCCGACCCTGGACGGAAAAGTTAACAGAGCCATCGACCTTCAGCGGGAGTTCCGCGGCTGTGGCGACCGTAGCGGACGGATAGCTGACAGAAGATTCTGTTTGATCGTTTGTGGGCCAATTCGCGGCGTTGCTGCTGCAGGGATAATGGACGATCACGCGCGGCTTCTCCTTTTGAGTCTGATTGTCATTCTCACTCTTACTTTCTAAAAGGCTTGCCTTTTCCTGGTTGGATAGAGAGGAGGAAGAGGAGGATGCAGATGAGGGAGTGCTGAAGAGCGGCAAACACGGCGGTGATGCTCGCGCTTTAGCCATTGGATCGACCGCCTGTTGATCCTGCTTCTGCTTCACTCGCTGAAGCTCCTGTTGCTGTTGCTGATTCTGCTTCGCGGTCGCAGGACGTTTCTCTGAATCGCCGCAATCAGCGCCGATCGCGTCGGTTGCGACGGTTGCGACGGCCGCTGTCGCCGCTGCGACGAGCGTCGGCGCGGAATAAGACAAATACAGCAGCACAGGAGTCGCGAACCTGAACGAAATCTCAGGAATGGACCCTGACGTCGAAGCGCCCGTACTCAAAACAATCGAAAGAACGAGCGAGATTACGACTTGCGCGATTGACGGCGCGCCAAGCGGACCGGCAACCTCGGTGGCGAGATAAGTGGGTGCTAGCATGCCATTCCATACGACGTGCAGCCAGCCGTCGCCGAGCGAGCTGGTCAGTGGATGGAGAAGGCCAAGAACGAGGAGGAAAGTGGCGAGGTAAAGCGAGAGCTTGCGACGAATGACGGGGAGAGTGGAAACAACTGTGGCAATGGCGGTCAGAGCCGTTGTCAGCATGGCTGCTGGCGAGGAGTGGTAGGCTTCTGTAGCCTCGGTGTTTCCAGAGCTGGCACGCGGCGTTCCCGAGGCTTCGAAAACTCCCCGACCTCGAGGCTGCTGGCACGCCTAGCCAGCCTCCGGTGCCTGGGACCTGCCTCCGCTCCTAGCCTTGTGTAGTGTATGAACCAATCCTGTTTCTTCACGCCCTCCTCCGAAAAAGGTTTGCCGCTCAAACAGCAGCCACGAGATCGAACAAAACTGACGTCTTTGGCTGGCTAGAGTTCCTACGACTAAACAAGTTTCGCATGGCGAACAACGAGCCGTCATTGGGTTTTGATCAACAAGAACTGGAACGATAAGGGCTTGGCGATCAGCGGAACCAGGGTGAACTCCCTTCTGCGATTCGGTTTCGCGTGGGCGATAAGTAGACAGTCGCTGTTTCCATCGCCTGTTAGAAGCCCAATCCGCTTCGTTGGCAAGCTTTAGGCGACTTCTTCTTTTCCGTCGTCGCTCAGGGTATGGATCGCACAGAAGGGTCGGCCAAGATGTGTGTGCGTTTCAGACTGCAGCGACTCACCCATGCGACAAAACATCAAGGGTACTCCAGTCCAGCCCCCTTTGTGGTACAGAAGGATGGCGACTTATACAAGAACAGTTTCGCGTTAGCGACGTATTTATGCAAGGTGTTACTACGACCTCAAGCACGGTCTCACGAAGGTTTTCGTGATCTCAAGGCTGCTTGTGATTGGCAAGGAAACTCTTGCGATAGATTTGTAGAGCGACCGTGAGCTCAGGCTGGCGGCTCCCCCAATACGAATCGCGACCGCGAACGAAGCACACTTGAGACGCCACTCTAACGCGGTCGTAAGTGGTCGCAGAAGGTCGACAGGACGTCGTGAGGGTGAACTTGGTGGAGGGTGAACCAAGCGTGCGACCTTAACGAGGGCGGTCAGGGGGACGTCAACGTGAAGTGCTCTTGCAACGAGGTTGAGCCAAACAATCACCTTCGTTTACAGAAGAAGTCCAATAGTGTGATACACCTCGATACGCTAGAATCGTATTATAAGCAAGAACTTCAAATTCACTGAAAACAAGCATTTGCATTGCAAAAATGTGATGCTCCACAGTCGCTGGTGCAATTCCCAGTAAGATGGGCTGAGGAAAATAACAACAATATATGAGGAGATTATAAAAATATTCTGCTTGACTCACCACTTCCAAACTGGTATTTGGAAAAGAAGAGGAATTGGATATGATTTCTCCTCAATGTTCTTTTTCCTATTTTTGCCCTCCCTAACCAATCATATGGTACAGAACAGAGAACAGATACAGCTGGAAACCAATTTTTAAAGCGGTTTGCTCTATACAGCGCAAGATTGCTCTATGTACGTGTAAGGAAAATTCATTTTCCTTACTTCGCGTCCCTGCTTACAGCGTACATACCCGTTCCCGCCATCGGCCCCCATCCGTGAACGTTACCCGCTCGCGACATTCGCCTCGACCACGACCCCCGCCACTGTTCGCGATGCGACCAACCTAACGGTTCGGTTGGTAACCCGCGCTCCGGACCTCCGCCTCGACAACTTCCCGAACCTCGGCGCTAGGCCCGTAGCGCACCCCAATTTCCCACATTATCGTTACCACGCTAGCTTCGATATATAACTTCGCTCATGCTTTTCGCTCAACTGTATTGTTAGCTTTGATAGTGCAATTCTCGCTCGCTCACTCAATTGCACTCGTAACACTTGGTATTCAGAGCCTACGATCTCTTCTCGGACCGCACCCACACCTTCGCTTCCCCACTATCTCATTTTTTAGGGGGGGTAGACGTCTCTCAGCGAACAAGCACCGCCGCCCGAAGTGCTCTCTCGTAAGCACGCACGGCCACGACAGAGGCTCTCGCTGAGCTTGCCCGACACCCCCGCCATGGCCGAAATTAATATTGCGACACTGACGCAGGAGCAACTCGACCGTCTCGTGCGCCAACTCGAAGACTCGGCGCTCGAAATCGCGACACTCACGGCGGAACGTGACTCCGCCCGCCAGCAATCAACAGTGAATGCACCAGCACAAGCACCCGCAAATGCACCTGCGCAATCAGAAGAACCGATCGTCATCTCATCAGGCACACCGACGCAACACGACAGCGTGGGACAGCGCTCAGGCGCAGCCAGTGATGGCGCCGCTCAATCGATGCCTGGCATGGAGAGAAATAGGGCCGCACCAAGCCCGCGTGGGCCTCGCGAAGCTCGTCGGCACGTGGAGTTTGCAGCAACAAGTGGCAGCCACGACATCATGGCACCAATGTCAGACATATATGACTTAGTCTGTGTAGGCTATAGTGGGGTAGACACTAAGGGGTACAAGTTTCTAGGGTTTTATATTTGTACTCAACACTTTCCTAGTTCATTCATTCCTCATTTCTTCACATGGTATAGAGCGGGTTCCCTAGAGGGACCGTTTCTTCCTTGGGCCCACCTTCGATTTTTTTTTTTTTTTAGCCTGCCCTAAACGCGCTTCGCGTCCTGCCCTAAAATTTCGCGGCCCCTTAGTGGCCTGCCCCTTAACGGCCCCTTAGTGGCCCCCTTCGCGGCCCCCCCTTAGCGGCCCCCCCTTCGCGGCCCCTTCGCGGTCCCGGTCGCGACCCCTTAGCGGCCCCTCGCGGCCCCTCTTAAGGCCCTTCGCGGCCCCCTCACGGCCCTTCGCGGCCCCTTCGCGGCCCTTCGCGGCCCCCTCACGGCCCTTCGCGGCCCCTTCGCGGCCCTTCGCGGCCCCCTCACGGCCCTTCGCGGCCCCTTCGCGGCCCTTCGCGGCCCCCCTCTCGGCCCTTCGCGGCCTCTTCGCGGCCCTTCGCGGCCCTTCGCGGCCCCCGCCGCGGCCCCTCCACGGCTCTTCGCGGCCCCTCCGCGGCTCTTCGCGGCCCGCCGTAGCTGCCCTGCCGCCCCGTCGCTGCCGCCTCAGCAGCAGCTGCCGTCGCATCTGCTGCCGCTGCCGCTTCCGCCACGGCCGTTCGCTGCCGCCGCTGCTGCCGGGACAGCCGCCGCCGCTGCTGTCGTCATAGCCGCCGCCGCTCCTGCCGTGACAGCTGCCGCCGCTGCTGCTGAGACAGCCGCCGCCGCCACTGCCGTGACAGCCGTCGCCGCCGTCCCGGCCCTGCCCTGCAGCCGAGTCGCGGCCCTGCCCTGCCGCCCTGTCGCGGCCCTGATCCTGCCGACGCACCTCGGCCCTGCCCCACCACTTGCGGGCTTCTACCCACCCGCCCCTGGTAAGCGCACCGCCGAGCCGCGCCCCTCCTGCTGCTGCTACTGCTAGCCTGCTTCTGCTGCTGCTGCTGCTGCTGCTGCTGTCATGGCTAGTCCCAACGTTCTTACCTTTGATGCTGAGGGTCGAGCGGTAGACTTTGAGGTCTGGCTAGATGATCTGCAGCTTTTCCTGCAGTGCGATAGCAAAGACGGCCTCTCACTGTTCGATCTCACGTCTGGTGCCTCTGCTGCCCCTGCTGCTGATACTGCTAGTACTGTTCGCTCGGTCTGGACCACGCGCGATGCTGCTGCTCGCCTTGCTGTGCGTAGTCACCTGCCGTCCTCTGAGCGCGCGCACTTTAGTCAGTACAAGAGTGCTAGCACTCTGTACACTGCTGTTGTTGCGCGCTACTCCTCCCCTGCCACTGCTGCCCTTAGCCGCCTCATGCTGCCGTACCTGTTCCCTGACCTAGCCGCTTTTGCCACAGTCGCTGACCTCATTACGCACCTCCGCACTAGTGACACCCGCTACCGCGCTGCGCTTCCTGCCAAGTTCTGCGCCAAGAACCCCCCCCCTATGTACATCACTCTCTACTACCTTGTCACCCAGCCCCCTGACTCCCTCTGCTCGGTTAGGGACCACTTCCTCTCCCTCTGCCCCACTACGCTCACCGTTGACCTCCTCGAGGAGCGCCTCCTTGCAGCTGAGAAGAGTATACTCGCTGTAGGAGCCTCTCGTGGTGACCCCCGTGCCCCTTTCTTTGAGGGGTGCTCCCCCGTCCCTCTCTTGCCCTCTGTTGCCTCTGCTGCTGCTGTCGACCTCGTTGG